TTCCATTGAGACTACTATATGACAGACCATGACACGACCCTTAATGATCTTACATATTTGTTTGTTGCTGTTGAAACAAAAATGATTTGGAGCACTGGTAAAGAAAATTTGATTGGAAGATCGACTCCAAAACTTCCATGGACATTGAAAATGATAACATTGGAAATCCAGAATCGTTTTCTCTTCCCAATGGAAAGGGATCGACCATAGTCAACCCGGTTGACCAAATGGTAAAGAGAAAGGCTAAGTATGAGATAGTCCCGTGTACCATTACTAAAGAGTCCATATGGTTCTATTGGCAAAGGAAGAGACATTAGTTGTGAAGCTGCCCTATTTACCTGAAAGAGCATAAGGATGGTAAAGTCAGAGTGTTTGACTATGCTTCGGGTAAAGTCCATTATCTAACTCTATTAAGTTCCTATTTGGAGATTCTTATTACATGATGTGACTCGGTCACATTTTGATGTTTTGTAGAATCAAAGAAAATAGAGGAAACTTAAATGAAGAGTAAGCTAACTCTCATCGCGAAGAGATGGATTTCAATTGCATGGTTTGATGATCAGAATTTTGAGCTATTGCTTAAAGAGTTGTGATAGATTGCTTAGGAATTCATAACAACATAGTTTTTCATATGCATTTTCATTTTAAGGATAAGTTTTTTCACAAGTTTTAGAATAAAAGAAAATTTTTTATTTTACTTATTTTTAGTATCCTTACAATGGAATTTGTGAAAAATTGTTGTTTATATGTTTCCATTGATAGCAATATTGAAAAATAGATTTGATTCTTTCGTTTGTGGTAGTGTCATAATTTACCAAATAAGGAAAAATTCTCATCACCCAAGTTTTAGTTGGATAGAAACTTGGACTCATGCAACTTGTATTGTATGATGAATGTGAATTTTCATCTTTGGGAAATTAAGACTAGTTCCTTGTGCACATGTATATGTGAGTGAAGTGAAGGACTAAGAGATCGGGTACACTTGGTTGTGCGCTGGTCAGGTCCACCAAAATATCGATAAGGCTATTCGTCATGATTTACTAAAGTTTAGTGAATATGGTTATACTTACAAGTTTAAGTGTAATTCTGGTACATTGGAAAAGTTTCAATGTAAGGCAGAACGATTAAGAAGAATCAAATTAGGCAGAAAGATAAAAGTTTCTCCAATCTGAAAAGATGGGAGAGTACTTGAGTATCTTTTTTTATGATTATCTTAGTGATTATGAAACCATATCATAATTGATTCTCTAAGGACATCTTAGTGCATTTGTTTGACTAAGAAGAGGAATCATGATTTGTTGAATTAGTTAAATAAAAAAGATAAGTCATACTTCATTCCAAAATTGAGTCTTAAACTAACACTTCAAGATTGTAACTTGAGTGACATAATCTTGAGAAGGTTTATAACACTTGTCAAATGTAGAGAAAAATGTTTTCTTAGTTTTGTACATTTGAAATTGGAAAGTTGTGATGTCTTGGATAAGACAAAGACCAACTATGACCAATTGTGTGAAGTATTGGTCTTGATAAAGAATCCACAATAACTCTTGAATATTTGTTTGTCAAGGAATGATTCTTGACAAGAGAGTCTTATATGTAAAGAGGATAGTGGGAGTCTTAAAGGTCTTGAAAGCCTCAAGAACTAATCAAGGTTGAAACTTATTTTTTATCACCAGCACACGACTTGTGGTTTGCAACCTATCGTGTTGACATATTCTTATTTCTGTTTCCATTCCAGTTAAAGTTGACTATGCATATGAGTTCTCAATTGTTTGCATAACAACCTGGAAGCAATGTTAGGCCCTTGTGCTGCCAGGTGGCAAAAAGTTAAGATTACACAAGTTCAGTCCATATGCGTTTGGATTTGTTACTAACCTTGTCTTGTGATTATGGTTATGACAAATTTACATGGATAGGAACACATACACCATAAAATCTAAGTGTCATAAGGTTTCTCTCCGCTTCATGAAAATGATGGTGAGGAAACGCTTTCACTAAGTAGATTTTACGTAGATAGCAATTGTGATATTTGCATTCTCGAAGTCGTTAGTGGAGCGTGTGTGGTTAACAGACACATTAACATGGACTTGTGAGAAATGGCAAAGGTCTAAACAACTGAGACTATGATTACGGCCTCCCATTTCATAGTTTTAAATTGTTTAGATACACATGTGAGCTATCTAAGGAAAGGTGTATGATTTGGATAAAGTTTTATCAAAGCATCTCGTATCAGAAATCTGAACTTTGGTAAGAAAGTCAATAAATTATTGATTTCTAGAAGTCCAGCTGATTTCTGGATACATGTCAGAGCTAGTGGGAATATAAGTGTTATGCTAGTACGATAATTATTGTTATGCTAGTGGGAGCATAATTAGTTATGGTAAATATTGCAAGTGAGCAATGTTAATTATAGAAAACAAAAGTTTCAATTCGTGAAGTTGCAAGGGTTGAAAAAGTTGTTTTGCTATAATTAAGGGAGAGGAAATTATACTTTAGTTCAATTCTAAAAGCTTAGATTGTGAGATTTTGATCAAATTTAGTAATGATTACATTATTTACGTTCTTAAATTCGATTATGATTATGACATCCCTTTTCATAATCTGAATTATGAGAACATGACAAATAGAAATAGAAATATTATAACAAAAGAATGGTATAATATCAAGATCTAATTAGTAAATAGCCAAGGTATCAGCTTTATACCTCAAATGAGTAGGAAATGTGCCAAAAAATTTGGATTTACTTGCTCTCTCCTGATCTCCCAAGCTTCCTTCTTCTCTTCCAACTTCAAATATACACAAAAGGGCACCAAAAGCTCAATAACACTCACTAAAGGCTTATGATTTCGAGTTAGGGATTCCTAGAAGTGAGAGGGACGATGGAGGCCGAAATGAGGCAGAATAGGTTATTTAAATAGGGTGCAAACCCTAAATATTAGGGTTTCATCCATACAGCTCTGCTCGTCGAGTCGGTCTTCCGACTTGTCGAGTAGATCACTTATCCTACCGACCCAAAGTCGAGTCTACTCGACGAGTTGGGCCTCCAAGTCGCCGAGTCCCAGAATAAAACATGAGTTTTCTTTAAATAATAAAAGAAAATACATACCACAAACCGGGTGTTACAATAATTTTTTCTAAATTTTTAACCGAGGATGAATCGAAACCCTCCCAATCTGATTTTGAGACCAAGAATCACGAACCACATCATCAAATCCCTCCATATCAAACGAAGAAGGAAATATACGAAACGGAACTAAACCATAATCAACACTACGCTCCAATAAAAGAATCAGTCTATGATCAGGGATTTTTTTCCAAGACCATACCCGAAATATGCAGAAAAGAATCTAGAAAACCATTTGAAACCAAAAAGCGATGTAGTTTGCTAAACTTTGAGCCCCACTTATCACTCCAAGTAAATTGCGGACCACCCAAAGGAATGCCAGTCAACCCGGTCTGCTCAATAAATGGTTAAAACTCTTAGCAAAATTGTTATGAAATTGAGATCCCAGTCTCTCCGACTCATCTTGCATTTCATTCAAATCGCACCCCCCTGAAAATATCTAATTAACTGAAGAATTATACTCCAAAGATGTCTTTTCCAATCCACCCTTTGAGGACCATACACTGTAATAAACAACACCTCCAAACCCGAAGTCCTCCACACCGCCTCAATCGTAAGAAAATACTCAGAAATATGTATTTTCTTATGAGAAATTCAATCCAAATCCCAAATAATCAGAATACCACTCGACACGCCATGAGAAGGAAAAAACCGCATGAGAAAAAGAATTATTGTCCTAGAAAGACCTCACTGTAACTAAATCAATAACTTTCATCTTCATTTCTTGAATAACTAGAAAATTAATTTTATGTTTGTGACATAAAGTTGTAATCCACCTCCTCTTATCTAAATAACCCGCTCCTTGAATGTTGATAGAGAGATAATTCATTTCAAACCCCTTTTAACTTCGCTTCTTTCAACTATATCTTTAACTCATTCAAAACACCCGTCCAAATTAAACCCCATTGCCTTCCCAATATCAAATGTTTTTTTTAATTTCACTCAAAAAAAATCATTATTTAAAGATTTCTCTGAAAAACCATCATAAGCATCAATATTTGAGAAACCCATAGGATGAGAAAGGTTATCTTCTGAGTTAACGATCCCTGAAATCCGACCGAATCCCCCACTAAAACCCACCGGAACAACACCAACTTCATAAGATTTAACACCATATTTTTTGGACAAAATCATTTTTCTGGATTGCAGCAAAAGTCACCACAACAGGTAAATTATGCCCTGTTGTGGTCAGAACAACAGCAGAAGCAGATGACGTTGCTGGAATAGCTACATCAGCAGCTTCACATGGCTGTTTTGGATGAACATGTTGCTCCTTGTCAATCTCTTGATGTTCCTAAAAACTATCGGATCGAACAACAACAACAACAACAACAACAACAATACAGAGGAGCAAAGCTACTGTTTAAACTCTTTTGGTTCAGAATTTTGAAATTGCCCCTCCTCATTGTTATTACCATTAATACTTATGTCATCAGCACACACACACACACACCCATCTGGATTGTTCCTTTTAGCATCATCTTCATTCATCTTTGCTAATGTATCATCGATTCCAAACTGGTCATATCAATCCCCATCCTTTTCACAATAATCAATAAACTCTCATTCTTCTTGAAAATGACCATGATCATTACCATTATCTATCTCAGGCTTAGAGTTATCACTAGAAAACAACGGAGTCCAACCGGGTGCTTCTTTTATTCTAACCGAAAAAAAGTCTCATCAATACTAACTTTTAAAACTTCCGAAATAATTTCTTGAGTTGTAGTAAAAACACAAATTATGTTTTTGTATACATCTTCACCTTTCTCCATTTATTTAAGATTTTTCTAAAAGCTTCCTTACTCCATTGACGTAAAGGTAATCCTTCCACATCTACCTAAACCAATCTTTCCGGAGGAACAAAATTTCAATCCTAAGGGCGTTTTTCAACCATCCAATGATCCATAACATCGCTTGCCAAGAAATTCCTGCAAGCTTCTTTATGCCTAAATCCTAACATAGCCCAAAAATCACTAACATATCGGATATCAAAATCTTCAAACCCTTCATCAAAACATAACATCCATAAGTTAGGCAAAGTCAGGAAATCCCTAGCTTTGACTAAACAAGCATGCTTGCTTATTTCAACAATGAAATCCCAAGAAGTGATATGAATTATGTCATCAACCTTATCAAAACCGAGTTTATCTTTTAGAGCACTTGTAACAACATTAGAATAAGAATTGGGTGGACTCACAAACCTATCCACTTCAGTTGGCAATGAACGATTCATAAGGGTAGGGATTTCCGGTTTTGAAAATCTTGGAAGGGAAGCAAACATCTTATGATAACCAAACCACACATCACATGAATTGTTAATCATTTTATCAATATCAGCCACACCTACAAATCTGATGAAAACAAAACGTTTGCCAATTTGCGACTTGTTAAAAGAGATAAAAACATAAATGACTTTTCCAATTCGATTGCATGAATGCCACAAATCGCATCTCAAAACATAATATGGGAAATTCGTAACATAGAACGAAGTAATGTCCTTACAAACTTCCAAACACCACGCCAAGCATCGTCGACAGAAGGATCAATACAGTGGAGTAGAGAACGATCTAGACCCGTCGTCAGAAGTTAATGTATGACCGCTGAAAAAACCTATCGACGTTTGATCCTGCTGGTGAGGGTCGATGAAATCAAAAACTCTGAAATCACTAGTGGCTTTGTTTTATGTTAATTTCTATTTGATTTTTTTCAAGAACTGGAATTGTTACTGAATTTTTTACTAATTCAACATAATTCAACAAATATAATTCTTGCTTTCTTAAAAACGATAAAATTTATTTAGTTTCATGTATAGCATCCATACTAGTGTTGATTGTTCTTATTATAGTTGCATAAAGGAAAATAAACTTTTCAAAACTAAACCTTTTTAACATATTATTTGCGATGTACCATGTATTAAGAGAAATTAAACGTTTTGGCTTTGATTTCCATAGAAAACGAGCTTATTGAAAATATTGATTATGAAAATATAATATATGGATTTTCTTCTAAAAATAATGAAATATGGATTTTTTTAAAATAATAGTATGTTGGTTGTATATCTTCTTTCAAAAAATTGTTTGTAACAATTTCGGTTTATTACTGATAAGTAAAAAGTAAAGACTAACATATGATGTTTAGGTAGAAAATATACAACGTTTGTTATCAAAGTTCTAAAATTCATGCTAGGAAATTACTTTACAACATTTTACAATATTTTTTTTGAAGGGTCTCAATTTGATTCTCATACAAATCTATGATACGTCATTACATGACGTATAAATAAATCCTAAATAGTGTTTTTTTATGGGAGTACGAGTCAATCAATCAATCAATAATAATAATAATAATAATAATAATAATAATAATAATTTTTTGTTTTAAAAGTCTAGTTTAAAAACAAAGAAATGATGCGCTGTTGTAGATAAATAAATGCAAAATTGCAAATCCATATGATTTGAATTTTTGGATAATAGTCCACTTAGATCAAAGACAATGGCGAAGAATGGAGACTTGCACCGCTAATTGATGCTAATCATTTGGGCTTTTTATTTAGCTATTATTCATGGGCTATTTTATATATTTAATTATTTATCATAACTATAAGTAGCATAAATATTTTAGGTATTATACTAACTGTTTATCCGCACCAAGCGCCGGGTGCAAATATATTTTTTAGAAATTAGTTTGTATATGAGATTTGTGTTTTTTGTGCAAATAGTTTACTACATATAAATTATTATCATTAAAAATCATGCTAGCAGAAATAAAATCAGAATGAATCAAAAATGAAAAGTTGGGATTCATTACAAATGCATATGAACACATGATTGGTTGATCATTATTAATCGCACAACACTTCTTTATACACTACATTTGATGTATAAACTTCACTGCCATTGAATCGGAATTCACCAATACTTTTGTAGTGACACGTGATATCCCTCTGGATAGCCACATAAAGTTGGTCATGTGAGAAAACCGATTCTCGAAGATAAATTCCTACATATGAAATTGTTTGACCTTGAGCGTTATTGATTATGATCGCCAAACATAATCGAATTGGAAATTGTTTTCTCTTCAGCTTGAACGGAAACATGTCATCTTCATACGGACTTAGAGGAATCATTGGGAAAAATGCTCTTTTTCCATCATGTTGATCAACAACTACAACTATTTCGACATCAATGACATTGTGCTGAAAACTTTTACATATCAATCGGGTGTCGTTACACAATCCATTTGATGGGTCGAGATTCCATAACAATATTATCGGGCATCTAACTTTCAGTCTTAGGTGATGAAGGAGAAAACCACTAACACTGATCATGTTCAAGAATTCTACGGGATAGAAGTTATTTATATCATCCATGGCTTCATCAAAACTATATTAAATTCTCTCTTGTGGAATCGGCCGATCAAATAATCATTAATCTCGTCGATACTATCATTTATTGTGGATATTATTGCATGGGAAATAATATAATACAGTTCAGATCTATTAATTTCAAAAGATGGAAAGATTGCATCAATCAAAGCATGCAATGACTTTTCTTTTCCAGTGAAGGGAATTACTATATCGTCAATGATGTGACGGGTGTCGAATAGTTTGTTTTGATAATTCGTTTCTTTTCTGGACAAAAACCATTTGGACTATATATGTAACGAAAAAAATCCGAGTAAAAAATCAAGAATGTGGGAAACCACATTGACCATTTGTATAAATTTGTTTAAAACATATTAATACTTTCATTAAGTTTAATCATGTGGTTATAATAACTAAAAAACACAAACTCAAAACAACGTACATGTGATTACTAATGGTTGAGTGTATAATATTAATCATTCAACACTTCTTTGTACACCATATTTGAGGTATACATTTCGTCATCGTTGAACTTTTTGTGGGATTCAATAATACATATGTATTGTCACGTGATGTCCCTTTAGACACTGCAACATAAAGTTTCCCATGAGAGAAAATAGTTTTCAGGCGGCGATTAGTTTTTCTTTAGGCGAACGTCAATTAATTCCATTTCGGTGAGTAGTTTTTTGTTGACGATTAGCTTCATTTTGACAAACAATAATATTTTCTTAAAAAACATGTGATATTACAAAGAACATGAAATACATCAACATATATCTAGATTTACTTTATGGTTTAAGGTTTTAGGGTTACAGTTAAAGGTGTAGGGTTTAGAGGTTAAGTGTTAGTAGTGCGGTCGTAGGTGTCGTTTTCAATGTGGGGATGGTGTGACAAATAGTTTTCTTTAAGGAAAATAGTTTTACTTTAGGTGAATAGTTGTTTTTGAAGGATGACGAATTGTTTTTTTCAATGAACAATTTTTTGTTAGTATCCCTAAGAATTTTGTATCGAGATATAATTAACAAAAAATGACAAAGGGTGTTAGAGAAATTTAGTTTATTAGGGTAGATGCAATGTTTTCACGAAAAATGCAACTTAAAAATGTAAATATAACTATCTCTTAAGTAAATGAAACTAAATCAAATAAGATTCGGTTTAATCGGTTTCGATTATTGAATCTAGCTAAAAAAAATCCAAATTAAGTTTCTTTTATTAAATAAATAGAATAATCCAAAAACCAAACAAAAAAATCTAAAGCTCATTCGGTGTGGGTTTGGTTTTCACTTTTTTTTACAAACACCTAGCAATATCGACTAAGTAATTATATTGGTCAATGGGTTGTTAGACATCAAATCTCATAAAAGAATGTCACATAGTCACGCATTTTTCTTCATAAAATACACTTTTATTTTTATTATAGTATAACGATACATATATAGAATTTGGAAATTTAACTACAAAAAAAAAAATTAAAAAAACTGAAGATGATATTTTTAAAAAAGAAATAGATAAAGAACCATTCGGAGAACTTGTGTAAGTATTTATTTTGATTAAAATCACAATCATTCTCACAGAAAGCAACATAAATAATTATTAAGTTTTAATCATTTCTTAAACATGGCAAAAGAAATAATAATTTTAGTCATGAAAATCAATTTCACATACCAAACTTTTAATTGTAGGTTTTTTTAAATCGAATTACCTTTGAATTCCTTAGACAATTTTCGACAAACTTCCATTATAAATGTCTCTCATCTATTACAATTACAAATACTACGCTCATCAAATACTATACTAAATTGTATCAAGTGCTAGCTGCTTTCGAGATACATTTATCAACATATTCTCACACAATCACACTTAACAACATGCAAGATTGAATTTTTAATATCCAATGATATTAGATTTTGCTTATTAATGATAGTTTTATTGTCAATTTCAAGCTAAACCCCCGAGTCTTTTTGCTCAATGGTGATTACCAACATGTTGAAAAAAGCATTCTAGTTATTGATTATCCAAGAAAACATTATGTAGTTACAAGCAACCAGATATGCAAATAAAAAAAGGTTTTAAATAGAAAAAAAAAACTCATTATCAGTTCCCAAGAAAGGAAAATAAACTTTTTTTCAATATTGATGGGGGTTTCTTGTGGGGGATGCCTTTTGGCGTGTGTTTCTTTGGTTTCTTTTCCTGGCTAGTTGATGTTCTCATTGCAATTAAGATGTTTGCATTTGTTCAACAGACTATATGTGTTGACACCAGTGTTGGCATCAATCTCCACTACTCGACCGATGGCTGCTCGACCTTGCTCTACATTCTGAGCAATTCTACGAACCATGATGGGTAGGGCTCAGTCAGCCGGGCCACCCTTGCTTATGTTGTAGAAACTTCGGTCCCTGTTGTAGGGTAAGGGTTGACCTTGTTTGTCGCTCCAGCGATTCAAGTTTGTTGCCCACAAGGGTGTGGGACCCTGAAACGTTGGTCGGGGGTTGTTAATTGGGGATTGATCTACTAGGGTAGGTTGTTGACTTCGGGCTCGGAGTCAGATCCATCCGAGAAGCCTTCTGCATGATGATCATCCAAAGGGATTTGATGCTCATCATCAGACTCTGCTTTAAGCCATCCAACATTATCGTGGGGTGGAAAGTACGGGTCGCCATGATGATGGAATCCAGCAATGATATCTACGCGAGAAAAGGGGTATAAGAATCTTATATAAATAGACATACTACCTAAGATAATTATAAGATGATCTTTATCAGTTATGTCAATACTTGTGTAGTTATACCAGGTATATGAAATCGAAGTAGGATAGACCTTCGAATAAGTGGTCCTAACTCCAAATCCACAACCAAACAAGGATAGGAAGTACAGTAAAGATCACAGATTCCGAGTCTATAACACCTAAATTTCATATA